TTACCTGGTTCTTTCCACTCCCTGTTGGTATGGGATGAAACACAGCTGTCATCTTACAGCATGTTGGAAGGTTCCCAAGTTGGTACTGAATGGAGGTGGAGGTCTTGAAAAGCTGAATAATGACTTCAGTTTTCATCATGAATCATCACAAAAATTACTCCTGCAACCTTACAGTACTGCAAGTGAGGCTTTTACTGGTGTCCAAAAACTGGTTTCTTCAGTTTTAATAGGTCTGAGATGCAAGGGAAAGCTGAGGGCGAGGGAAGCTGAACTCTCATGAAAAGATGTTTTACTCCACCTGTTTCATCCATACCTCTTCCAGCAAGCAAGAGTCGTTACGTGTGCATCACTTCTGACAAGAATTTGCTTGGAAAAGGATGGCATCTTTATTTCTTGAGGTATCTAAGAGAAGAAAAGAGTGGTGTTTTCATTGCTTTCAGTATTCCCCTTGTTGTGGAAGCCCTTCCAGTGTGGTTCCATTATTTTCTCCTATCCTGTATGTCCAACACGAGAAACAAGCTGTTTCCTTCTTGTTAGTAGCCTTTTATACACTTATACTTTCAAACTTATACTGTTTTTTTTTGTTGTTGTTGTTTTTTGTTTTTGTTTGTTTGTTTGTTTTTTGTTTTTTAAATGGAGATGACTCAAAAGAGAGATGATAAACCTCAGTCTTTTTCACTCAGAGGTCACCTTTTCCCATTGTCTTTCAAGGCTACCCACTTGTTTAGAAGAAGTTGGTGTAATGTGTTAGGCAACAGAATGCTCCTCCAAATAGACACATATCCCTTTCTCCACATCAGTTCACTCATGTCCAGCCTGTGATAAGCCCAGATACTGGCTCACTATCCTGAAATCAACAAGTGACCGTTCTCCACATAAGCTGGGTTTTCTATGCACTCTTGGTGAGCTGTAGCCCACTTCTCCTATACACACTTGTTTGCAGTTTATTTTAACAAAGGTGCTCGAAAACATATACAGACACCTGACACAGCTTACATGTTGAATTAATATGCATCTTTGGACCCAGCTGTATGGCTATGACTACCTCTGCAGACAATCCTACTCAAAAAGTTTTTCCATTTAATTAATGAGCTACTAAAAGCCACCCTTCTTCTCGCAAATATATTTGCCACTACCTTTAAGGTATTTCATCTAAGCCCTCATCTTGAGAGAACATCTCACATCTCATTTCATGAAGTCAAGTGCTGTGTAAGCAGTTACTTTTCCTTCTGTCCTTAGAATTCTTTCTTTGGCGTGCAGGAAATTATGCTGGTTGGACACAATTTGCCCTTGACAAAACCACACTGGCTATAATTTTTCTCCTGCAGTTACTTACAGCAAATTTTTTGTTCTTGAATTTTCTGATAGTCTAGATTTAAGGCAGACTGCTATGGGATTCTCTTATTGTTCTGTTTTGCTACAAGAAAACTGAATCTATTTTTTTCTAGCATTTCACAGCCCCAGAAGGTTATTAGAAATAACAGCTCAGTGGTTACTTCATGCAGTCCTCTAAATACTGCAGTCCTTCAACATTGTTCTTGACATTCCTACTCTTCCCAATGTGGTAACATAAAATGCTCCTTGCCCTTTATATGCCTATTTTCATTTGATTTTGCATCTTGACCTTTCAGACTCTATTTTTACTGGTTCATGGAGTTTATAAGATCTTCAATAATGTTTTCATGCTTAATACTTCCTATTTTTCTATTTGTTTCTTTTACTTTTTATCTTAAGATTAACCAGATTAACGAAATATTCCATTTCTCCAATCTCAAATTCTCATTTAATGGTTTCACTGACTTTAACTCTGTCTCTAACTCTAGTTCTTTCCTATAGTTCTTCCCCTGAATACACTGAAAAGCAAAGAAAGCTCTCTCCTGCTCTTTCTGCCACCCTTAGCAGCCAGAAAACTACTGCAACATTAAAGACCTTAGAGGATAACTTACAACCTGAAGTGTTGCATTCCCTACAGATAAAAGGCAATTAAATTTCCCCATTGCTACACTGTCCTGTGCTTGTTGCTCACAGAAATACTCCATCCATCTCCATATGAGAGATCCTGGGGGGAACCCATCATGGTGGTCCTGAGATGGTTCTTGTCCCTTCTTCAGAATATCAACATGAAAGGCAATATGTGCATCTCTGGCCCACACCGCTTTCTACAGCAGTCTTTTTCAGAAACAATTCTGTTTTAATATCCTGGCTGTGTAATCTACTAGAAAATCTCTGCCATTTTAGCATAAATTCATTTAAGATGCTCAACCAGTTGATCCAACAAATTTCTTACTCCATCTCCAGTAACTCTAGGGAACTGAAAGACAGAACAGAAAGTGAGATTATAAATAACAAATTTCTAGGTCTGTGTGTCTGCCTGTACACCACTGTTTTACCTGTATTTTCTGAAAGGTCTTTTCTCTTGTCTATCTCCCCCGACACTTCAGTTTGCATGAATTTGTGTGAAGATGCTCACCTCTTCTTTCAGAGGCAGACAGCATCTAGTTGATCTGTCCTCCGTGCTGGTGTGAGACAAGGTCCTTCCCATTTGCCCTCTTCCTGAGCTCCAGACTTGCACATGTATGTATTTCTAATATTGCTGCCCCTGTTCCTCTCTTGTCACCATCCCTTTAGGCACTCACAGTCACATCTGGGCTTCTGTACACTCTTGGTAGTAGTGCCAGCATCCACAGGGGCAGGCAGCCTGGACCTTTACTCTTTGAGCAGGTGAGCCTTGGTTATCTTCCAGTAAGAAGGGCGATTTGGACTGAAATTCCCTCTGATCACCACTGATGAAGACTCTTGTATGTTGTTTAATTTCCCTAAGAGTAGTGCCCTTTGTGGCATTTGCAGCAAAAGCACAAACCGACACATTCAAGATTAGTGCCTGATAGCACCAAGAATAATTTACAGCAGCAGATAAAATACAATAGAAGTGGCTCTAAAAGAACAGCATTACCTCACTATTATTTATTCTGACAGTACTCTTTTGTGAAGAATAAACTTCATACCACTCCATATAGTCTTGGCATGACTGGGGAAGTTCCCACTGGTAGATGAAACCCAGTTATACAGGTCCAACACCCTGCGGCTGTAAAGGTTTTCCCGGCCTTTTGCTGCAGTCTGAACAACATCTGCACAGGGGGATCTAAGTCTGGTTGTAGCCTAGCTCAACATGGACATCTGACTGCAAGTGGGCATAGCAAAGCCTCTCACATAAGTGAGAGTTACAGAGTGGCCCGATAGTTGAAGGTGATAATTTTAGGTCATAATTTGAGGGATCTGGGGGATCTATCCCCTTATGTCTACTCTATTGAAGGTATAACGCACCTTCAGCACAGCTAAATGGAGAAATCAGCTCATGGCCCTCTTATCTGATGGGGCAACATGGTTCTTTGTGTTCAGAATGCAGGATGTCTCAAGCCTCAAAAGGATGGCCAGCATGAACTTTGCTCACAAAGAAGTGCAACTTGCATGGAGAGTCAGAGAAGAAAAAATACATAGCCAAGCTGATCTCTGCTATTGCAAAGGGCAATAAAAAAAACTCCAGCCAGATCTTCTTTTTGTCATTAGATAGATTTTCAATTTTGATTGCCACATCATTCTGTGCATTATTCTTTTAGCAGACACTAAAAGCTCCTGGACTGCTTCTGTTGCTACCATAGACCAAGGGTGTCTGTAGATTATACCTGCAAAATCTGTACATGGTATCATTCACTTCAAAGCCTCAGTTCCAGTAGAAATGCAGGTACAAACATTTTGTCAAAGGCATCCTGAAGTTCTTTGCCCTGGCTCTGTCTACTGAAGGAGAAAACAGCTATCCTGTTTCCTCACATATCAAATATTATATACAATTCAGTCTGTCTTGCTAAGTAGATGAATGGGATGTATCTATTCTATCTGAAACAATGCCTCATAATCCTGGAGGATTGCTGTATTTCTTCCCCCAAGAGAGGGCAGGAAAATACAGCTGGGGGAAATAATTTGGCAGTGTGTATAGCACAGGTCATTCAGCAGTGGCAGGATTAGAAAATCAGGGAGACAAACAAGATGGTCTAGATAGAACGAATCCTGTCAACATCAGCACCAAAATCATGCTAAACCAGGACTGTGCTTTATATTGTCCAAGACAAGTGAATTATTCATAGTGGGGAATTTCAGTGTTCCTTTCAAAACAGTGAGAGGAAGACTATGCAAAGAGTTTCTCTCTTCTTAGCAGATGAAAAAAAAAATTATGCATAATATTCTTTTGTAAAGCAGGAGACAGAAGTCCTATTCATTTGCTATCATAAAGGTCTCACAGAACTGACCTAGAATCTGCATGGACACCTGGAGTGTGTATGTATCTACCCAATCTGAATGGAAACCTCCATTCTTTTTAGGTTCATTAACTACTTCAGCAGAGAGATTTGCTAGCTAGTAAACATAATTTACAGTTGCCGTAGTCTACCAGTAACTCCATCCAGCTTTAAAGATTGACATATTTAACATTCTATTAGAGATGTTTCTTAGACAAGCTGGGAGAGCAGAAATAATAAGATGCTCACCTTGTTAGCTGAGGATTAGGTCCAAGCAGTATATATTTAATTAGACTTTAAAGAGCTTATTTCAATGTTAGAAGATGCAGCTCTTCTCTTTTGTTGCTACTACAATGTAATTATTTCAGTAAGTTTTCTGCTTGCCAAGAGAAAGGAGAGTGCTTTAAGATATTGTGAATACTCAGTTTTTTGTTTGCATTTAGATTAAGAAGAAGAAAGTTGACTCAAAGCTTTTGTAGAGGTCATCTAATCTGTTTGGTTGAGAAGATCTGTCCTCCCACAGACTCACCTCCAGCACTATAAAGGAATACCTTCCTGATGACGATCTCTCTTTGCAGTGGTACATCATCTCTGGCTGTTCTAGAAGCAACATCTTCTATTATGAAAATTTAGGAAGTACATCAGAAATAAGAGTTCCTCTTGCATAGACCACATCATTGGACTACTACAGGATTCAGGACATTCACAATGAGCATTAGTGAAGACGACGTGGAGAAGTTTCTTGATGGCAACCCTGCTTTTGCCAAGCAGTACTTTGAGAAGAAACTGAAAACAGAGTCCTGCGATGACAATGAAAGTGAAATTCTTTTTGAGTTGATACAAGACATGCAAGAAAGCATCAACATGGAGAAAGTTGTATTCAAGACTTTGAGAAGAATCAGGTCCCTTATTCATGCTGATCGCTGTAGTCTTTTCATGTACAGGCAAAGAAACGGCACACCTGAACTTGCAACAAGGCTTTTCAACATTCAAGAGGGAAGCACACTGGAGGAATGCCTGGTTTCCCCTGACTGCGAGATAGTCTACCCACTGGACTTAGGCATTGTGGGCTACGTTGCACAAACCAAGAAAACCATGAACATCCAGGATGTCAGTCAGGTAGGTTTGCTGTTTATTCATTTACTCAGTAGACAAAAGGCTTGCATGCTTACTGGTTCAAAGGGGTGAAGAGACAGAAGGGCATCTTGGTCCCACAACTGGGATCACTGGAATTGGTGTGTAGTGAAAACTAATGCACCAGTAATCCGTGTGTAAGTTGCTTCCAACTGCATTTATGGAGAGAGGTGAAGCTAAACTCATCATAGAATCATAGTCATAGAATCACAGAATCAGAAAGGTTTGAGTGGGAAGAGACCCTAAAGATTATCCAGTTACAATCCCCTGCTATGGGGCAGGATTGCCAGCCCCCAGCTCAGGCTATCCAGGGCTCCATCCATCCTGGCTTTGAACTTCTCCAGGAATAGGGCATTCACAAATTCTCTGGGCAACCTGTGCCACTGCCTCACACTCTGAGTGAAGAATTTCCTTCTGATATCTAATCTTAATTTCCCCTCTTTTAGTTTAAAACCATTCTTCCTTGTCTTACTGTTCATGTAAAAAGTGGGTCTCTCTCCTGCTTGTAAGATCCCTTTAGATACTGGAAGGCCTCAATGAGGTCCTCCCACAGCCTTCTCTTCTCTAGGCTGAGCAAGTCCAGCTCCCTAAGCCTTTCTTCATAGGAGAAGTGCTCCAGCCCTCTGATTGTCTTTGTGGGCAGACTCCAACAGTTCCACACCTTTCCTGTGCTGGGGGCCCCAGGTCTGGATGCAATACTGCAGATGGGGCCTCAAAGGGCAGAGCAGATGGGGACAATTCCCTCCTCCTCCCTGGCGCCACCCTACTTTTGATGCAGCCCAGAACACAGTTGGCCTTCCAGGCTGCAAGCACACACTGATGACTTGTGTCCAGCTTTTCATCCACCAGAACTCCCAAGTCCTTCTCAACAAGGCTGCTCTCAGTGAGTTCTTCTCCAGTCTATATACCTATCTGGGATTGCCCTGACACCAGCTGTGACTGGCCTCCACCTGAACATAGAACTGTTGACTACAGCCCTTTGGCTGAGACTATCCAACCAATTCTTTATTCACCAAATAGTCTAGCATGTGGACTAATTGTAACCTGAGTATGGGTGATTTTCACCAAAAGCAGCAAAAAGCACACTCTTTCAGCAGACAATGTGTAGTGCAGTACTGAGAGGGGTGCAAGGAATTTCAGTGTTTCATTCCTATGGCCTTCATAACAAAACCTACCTCTCATACTCCTCAGTTGAATCACATAAATCTGAATAGCTGGAATTACAATCTGCTTGCCCTAATCGTAGATATAAAACTAAAATCCGTGTGACCCAAATATGGCATTTGGGATTACTCCACCTATTATTTGGTAGATACAGAGACCATCTGTTCATCTGCCCATTTGTTGCTTACTATGATCATATCCAAAAGCTTTGGTGAAATCTTCCTTGATCTCCATAGAACACACTAAGATATTGTCTTAGTTTTGCAGTCATTCTTTTGCAGAATATGCATCAGAATATAACTTAAAATTTTAAGGTTCTCTCTTCAGACATTTCTCTAAGAATAAGTAAGGACTTCAGAACTGGGAGCCAAGAGCTGCACTCCAACTGTAACTCTTTCAGGTGCTGCCACTATTATGACAGTTCTTTTGAAGGAAACACAAACATTTAAATGCTTGGTCTACCCTAGTTGGCAGGGACGGCTAGCAGTAGAGGATATGTAGGGAGAAGGTGCGGTAGAGTGATAGTTCTTTCAGGAGCAACATTTTGATTGTGATCAGAGACAACAAAGCTCTGGGCTTTTAATAATTCAGATAAGAGGAGCTGTAGTTGACAATTCGTTCAGCTGAGCAGGAAGATGATGGTTCAGTAAGACCCTTCCCACATTTCCCATCAGAAGGAGAAGAAGTATGAGTATGTCATTGTGCAGGACACTGGGCTGTCTGCCTTCCTCACATTACCCTTTCTATGTTTCATTTTCTTTTGGCACTGAGAGACACTGACAGAGACACTGGCACTGACATCACACTGAGTTCTCTTCATACTGCTCCTATAGCATGACCTAGTGCTTTCCCGATGGCAGTTCTCTCAAGGACAGGACTCCTTGTGCAGCCAAACCCTGCTGTTGCTATCTGCATATTGCAACCCTGTCCAACAAGCTCCTTGGAGAGATGGGGCTGAGTTGCTCAGAGTGCTGGGGGAGAGTGCCAGGAAAACGTAGTGCATCCTCCTCAAAGCTCTCCTGCCCACTATCCCAAACACAAAGGTCCAACATCACGGTGGTTTGTACTCAGGTCACCATAACATCTTTCCTAATGTTCCCCAATATCAGTAAAAAAACGTTTGGCACATATAGTGGCTACAGGTTGATTTCCCATGCCTGCTGCTGCTCTTTCATTCATGAAGGAATGATAAACTGTAACTGTAAGACTAAGGCTGAAGATACACTAATAGAGAAGGGAATCCTCTGGACAACAATTTTTTATCAGGAGAGCCAAGGTCTAGATTGTTCCATGCAGAAAAATGAGATTGAATGAGATTCCTAGTGACTGTAATATAAAGCATGGTTTATAAACTGTAGCTATGCACTACTGCATAGAAATTGGTTACATGCACCTTGCAGTGTTAATACAACACCAGGGAAAATTATACAGGAGCTATAATGAAGGAAGTCAGTTGTCTGAGGATGATTAGTGGAGACCCTCCTTGTTCTGACAGAGTTCAACATGTTAAATGATTATAGTTAGCAAGATCTTTGTAAAAAGATTGGTTGTATTGCAACCAATCAGCAGCCATAGCCAGTTCTTTGATAGTAGTTCTATTACCTGTTCATTATGCAATTTTCTACTAATTTTATATCTTCCTCAATGTTGTAAGCAAAACTTTTCTCTAGACAGCTTGCCTCAAGAATCTATGCTTTGGTTTGGCTTTAAGGCTACAAATATTGTTTAAAGTGCTTAATCTGTAAACTCTCCTTTGAACAGTGTCCCCAGTTCAGTTCATTTGTTGATGAGCTCACCGACTACACTACAAAAAGCATCCTTGCAACACCCATCTTGAATGGCAAAGATCTAGTTGCTGTCATTTTGGCTATTAATAAGCTGAACGGCCCATTCTTCACCAACTCTGATGAAACAGTAAGTGGTCAATAGTTCAGTTGTTGCATTGCTGTACAACATGTATAACATGGGTAATACATCCTTCTACATTAGGGATGTCTGCTTTACTGAAGCACCATGGTGTAAATTTCCTTACAGGGGACCCACCCTGTAACAGAAGAGGCTTATTATGAAGATACTTATCTCAGAAATCTTTCAGGGAAGTTACAGTGGGATAAGCCTTATCTCACACTGGTGCAAAGCAAAGCATTTATCCAGGAGAATTACCATGACGTTGCTGAAGTGGTGTTATGAAATCCAATATACATGAGACTGCTACTGCATTTGACCCAATTCCATTATTTTTCTTTACAGCTTTTCCTGAAGTACCTGAATTTTGCTTCCCTAAACCTGAAAATTTATCACTTGAGTTATCTTCACAACTGTGAAACTCGAAGAGGCCAGGTAAGAGCAAGGATGCAAATTGGGCTGTATCTTAAAATCAAAAGCACTTTTTCTGGTTTCAGAAATATAGATGATCTGGTTCAGAGATTTGTGTCTAAAGAGCAGAAAGAAAAGGCAGACCCTGGATGCTTTCACATACTCCCTCTTCCTCAGTCTTTCACCGTGTCTGTTTGCTGGTAAATACAGATATTGTGCAGAGTTCAGGTGATGGAACACTCTTGAGGCATTTATCTACTTCAGACAGCAGCACTGAAAGATCTCCCAAAACAATTAAGAACACTATAATATTATCTTTTATGCTTATAAAAATACTATAGAATTTCTTCTTAGTGAAAGCAGAATGATTCTCATCTGCCTGATCTATTTCTCTCCTTCATTAGAAATCAATGAATTTCAGGTATTTTGAATGGAACCTGTTCAGTCACAAGTTTTTCCCATGGTTTATTCTTTGCACAGTTCTTTCCACAAACCAGTGAATGGTGTCCAGGTGATACAGCCATCTAGCAATGCTAAGTAATTTAACTGAGGTAGAATTAGCCAAAGTTCATTCCTCTTGAGGGCTTAGCAAGCCTGGGGGGGCATGGAGTCTAAAAGGAAAACACATACCCAAGATGTGGAAGAACCAGTGCATCCTGCAGGGTGTTCTGACCTGGGTTTGAACCCTGGAATCAGATGTCCATATGTCACCGCTGTATTAGCAGATCCCACAAAAGGCGGAAAAGAAAAACTAAACTAGCTCAACTAGCAGATGTTTGGCCATCTAGATCAAAAGGTATCTGCAACAGTTAACACTGTTTGTTGCTTTAGACTTAGAACTACCTCAGTACAGTCTGAGCAAACAACATTCTCAAAGATGTGTAAGATTTTTATATTGAAAAAACACCTGCACATAAAACATCATGTGCAAAGAGAACACAGTCTGCTTGTTAGACTGTAATCTGTTAGAGTCTTAGTAGAAGACCACATAATGCCCTTCCATCATGCGTTTCTTTCAATCCTTGTCACTGCATTTGTGGCTTTCAGCCTCACATATTGCATGCAGTAAAAGAGCAACGATTAGCCACTGCTCATTTTCCATTAACAATTTGCGTGGCAACAACACTGTCCTATCTGTGGGATGCTAGTAGTATTTAGCAGTATTGCTGTTCTAAAGACCTTAGTCTTTACAACAGTGCCAGAGCTTTCACATCCCAAGGGTCAGAAACAGAGAGCAATGCAGGCCAGAACTGTATATGATGTTTGCTAGCCCTCAGAGAAGCAATGAGTCACACTTTTCCTGACCGTGGCCAAGCAGTAGTGCTCTGTGTTCCAAGCATAGGTCCAGTCAGCTTCAGGTAGAGGCTACCAGCACTTCTAGGTACTGGCACTGTTGTTTCCTTTGCTCTGACAGCAAAGCACCCAATCAGGAACACAGGCAATAGCAAAGGTCAGCATCTGCATAGATGGCTTCCTTATCATTTCAGAGATAACAAAGCTCCCCTTATGACCACAAAGACCTACTTTTTACTATTAGAAACATCTGCCTAATTCACTGCAGAACCTCCATTTTTACAGATGAAATGGCCTAGTAGGAAAAGCTTTCTTAAGGTTATATCCACACTGTGTTGCATGGGGTAGAGGGTCACAGGACAATGCACACACAAGATCTGTGCAAAGCCTTTAAGGAAAGAGTTGATTCAAATATTTCCAACTCCAGCCTTTAGACTTTGCAAGATTTTACTCATGGATATAAAAAGTAAGTGTACAGTCTGTTTGGCACCATTACCTTTGTAAGACTGGCCCTTAGCATAGTACTCTTGATGGCATGACTAGTCCTCAGAATGCATCTCTCCTTAGTAATTCCCGGTGTAAATAAGCAATGAATTTACACTTTGCAGTTGCACTTTTGCTATTGCACTGGGACTATAGTATAAAAAAAAAAACAACACAGTTACCTTATTAATGCAAACACAACTGGGAAGTCTAGCTTCAAGGGAAAGCTATGCTTACAATTGGCTTTTATCCTGCAGGTGCTGCTGTGGTCAGCTAACAAGGTCTTTGAGGAATTGACAGATATTGAGAGGCAATTCCACAAGGCCTTCTATACAGTGAGAGCATATCTGAATTGTGACAGGTACTCAGTAGGCCTCCTGGACATGACAAAGCAGAAGGTGAGTGTTCACTGATGAGCTACAGATATTTCTGATTGCTACTATTCATAGCTGACTGATTTGTGGAGATAAGGTTTACTGGGACAGTCAAACTCCAAGCTAGGTTAAAGTCATTATTCCTGCTTTGATTTGCGTTTTTAATTCCACTGTACAAATGAAAAACATGGGATGAAGAAAAGAGGAGGAGAATAAAGAGTTTATCACTGGGATGGGACTATCTGAAGAGGCAGAGGACAAGAATGGAGACAAAGGAGAGGCAAATGTGTTTAACTGTCAAGCATCAATCCCAACCAAAGCCCACACTGCAAGCACAGCCTCAGCAAGTCTTTGGCTGCCAGAAATAAAATGAGATGCCAGTAGAGCAACAAAACAGGCACTCACTTCAAGACCTCATCCACATGCATATTATCAAGGCTTCAAGGTGAAATTTGGCTTCAAGGAAATGCAGACTAAGAGCATCTGAATTACCTCTACAGCTCCGATTTGTTCTGATTGTTTGCAAGCTGACTGACAAGCTTTACATGGGATTACACAGCAACATTTACATAGCATCTCTGCTTTACTTTGGCGTCAGGCTAACTGAGGCTACCACTGACTTTGATTTCCACCACATTGCCTGAGCCCTTACAGCACTTGGTCATGTGAGGAGATATACTAAAAGATCATTATTTTGGTAAAGCATTAAAACATAGCCTAGTAGAAACTGTTCTTTGGGTTTAGTGAGGTAGAAAATCAGCCCAATTGAAACACTCTGGAAAATGAGGAACTTGGAAAATACAGAAATAGGTGCTTGCTCTGTGCATACAGTCCACACTGTTCACTGATTGATGTCTTGTGTATAAGCTGTAAATGGCCATATACAACCTTGTAAGGCACCTGACTCCTTCTGGCTTAGGTACACCATTGTGCTGCCCAGCCTTGCTCTAGCCATGTTGTTTCATGTCTTGTTCACAGAGTACCAAAACCAGCATAGTAAAGCAGCAGTTACTCTGAAATTTGAGGCAAAATGCACTTTTCTGCTCTAAATATACTTCTTTTCTTTGAAAAACAGGAATTTTTTGATCTATGGCCTGTCCTGCTGGGAGAAGTTCCCCCTTACTCAGGACCTCGCACTCCGGATGGCAGAGTAAGCGACAGCCATATTTCTTATAGTCTTACATAGTCTTACAGTCTTATTGTCTTGATGAATTATCTCACCACTATATTTAACACTGCTCTTCTCTTCTTTTTCTTTGCAGGAAATAGTCTTTTACAAAGTCATTGATTATATATTACATGGAAAAGAAGACATTAAAGTCATCCCGTAAGTGCCCAGTCTGCTGCCACTGTTTGTGTGTGCTTGGTAAAGACACAGAGTGCAGCGGAAACAAAGGTTGTCCCTAATTTAAAGATGTTCATAAAGAGATATGCAGAGGACTGATACAAGACTGAGCAAGAAGCCAGAATGTAGGATGCTGTTTCAACTCATATTTATGTGGGACAAAGGTTTTTTCCAGGGCAGTGAGATTCTCCCAGCTTGTAAGTCAGGCTCCAAGAACCAGCAACAAGCAATTGTTTCTGTGTGAGAATGAGCTGCTTTGACTGCCTGCAGCTTTGCCATTGTCTGTGCTAGCCCAAGGCATCACTCCTCCTTGATATCTTTCCTGTGCTCCCCTCTGAGCCCATCCAGCTTGCCCTGGTGCTGAGGCATCTGCAGTCGCAGCCCTGCCCACCATTCATCTGGATGTCTTCTCGACCAACACAGTCCCTCCTGTTCCTCTGCCTATCCTCTAGCTTCTTTTTGCTCTCTTCTCCTTTGGTCACCCCCCTCAAGGCTGTCTCTGACTCTTCCTCCTCTCTTTACTCTACCCTGAGACTCTCATTCTGAAAATCACCTTCACTTCCTGCCACTGAGTTTTGCGGAGTACATTTGGGCTTCATTCCAGTGGGCTCTGAGAAGACTTCCCCCACCAACCATCCTCTTCTCTAGTGGTTTAACTCTCCAAACTGCTACTTCTGTATGGTGTTTCTCTCCTCAACGTTCACCTGCAAAACACGAGAAGGGAAACATAAATGGCTGCATTTGCAGGAGTTGGTGAGAATGCTCCCCTCTCATCAAGCTTCTTAGCCACTCACTTTCATCTTCATGTATCTTGCTTCCACATATAGATACACATGTACCCTCCACATCCTCAGATGCCTACCGGCATACTTCCCCACGTCCCTCAGCACTTCCACTCACCACTTGTCCAACTGCTGTAGGATGTGGCTAAAGGTCTCCTTGAGGACACAATAGAAGTTTTACTGTGCTGGTCACACCACTACACAGTAATATCCACCTGTTATGCACCTTCATGCTTCAAGAAAAGCTCCCACAATAGATACTCAGCAGGGTTAATCTGGCTGACTCTTATCCGGAGACTTTCTTTTCTTTTTCTCTATGCTGTAGCTCTGAAACATGACCCTCACTACCAGGAATACTTTTTTCTTAACTCAAGTGCTCTGCTGAGTATATTCTATGAGCTAATCTGTACTGAATCCTTGAAAGAAAATATTTACTTGTGTAAAAAATTATGCTTGTGCATGTAGGTCCTTTGAAAGTAACAAAACTGCTTGATAGCTGAGAGTGAAATGCATATGTAGATTGTGCAGCCAGCTCTGTTATCATCGTCCTTCAATAAATACATACTCTTAATTATCCTTTTCCATTTTCTTTCTATCAGAAATCCTACGCCAGATCACTGGGCACTAGTTACTGGACTGCCAACATATGTGGCTGAAAGTGGGTTTGTAAGTGCATAGCTTGGACTTCATTAAGGCTTTCTGAAATGAAGTTTCATTAAAGCTACTTTTCAGGTTTTGTTTGTTTTGGCATTTTAATCAACTTCTGTGTCCAATTTGTAAAATACATATGTATTTCTTTTTGTGATCCCCTAGATTTGCAATATTATGAATGCTGCTGCAGACGAGATGTTTAACTTTCAGGTAATGTGAACACTTCCACTTCTATGAAGCATTCCACTTTACTTACAGAAATGTAATTCAGAGTCAATATCAGGCACATAGGTATTTTTTTCATCAGAAGTCATGATATGAAATTGGATTGCTGCTGTATTTAGAAAACAAATTAAGCATATAGTGTCTTTTTGCTTGCTATTTCTTCAAGGAAGGTCCTCTAGACGAATCAGGATGGACTATCAAAAATGTTCTCTCCATGCCAATAGTCAACAAAAAGGAAGAAATTGTTGGTGTTGTCACATTTTTTAACAGAAAAGATGGGAAACCATTTGATGAACAGGATGAGACCCTGATGGAGGTATAATTCCTTACCGTGGCTGGAAGAAGTTCATATGGTTGTGAGAGATTATTTTTTTTTCTCACAGCGCTCCTGCAAACATCCCCCAGTGTTCTGCAACAAAGTTTCTTAATAGGTTATGCAGTAGATGGAAAGTTTTGAAGGTGACTCAGTGGAAGTTGGATGCTTTTGAAATTTGTAAATTCACCTATGTTTAGATTATTTTGTTTCAGCATTCTTAGATTGGACACCTAGCTATCAACAGCTATGAGGTAGTAATGTGACTATATTGACCTGTGCTCAGATACTGCTGGGCAACTCCCTCTGGCAATTACACAGAAGTAATCAGTGTGGCTGTGATTCAAGGTGTGGCCAGCTGCTGAATCTACAAACAGTAGCGCTAAGCGAAGCCACTGTGGCTGAGAAATGCTTCTTTTTTTATTTCAATCCAACATGGACATATAGATCTTAGCATCCATTATCAATCAGAGCATTTGCTGAAATACTTTTACTACCAAATAAACAACCAAGCAAAAAAAATCAATTCAAATTGGCCACTGAGCAGCAAATAAGATAAAAGCAAACAAAGTATGACTAAACAGATGTAAAAGGTGACAAGACCATCATGCTTTCCCTTGAAATGAGGGTTCCTAACCTGCTATCATAGTTGTGACTGCAGCCTTTCCCATAGACATGGGGTAGCATACTGAATACTTGTAACAACATATGCAAGTAGTTTTCCCAGGACAAAGGGTCCTCGAATCTGCATGGAATGGGCAGTCTTAAGATCTAGGCAGATCCACCAGCTGGGGAGCTGCTGTGGTGAAGAACAGTTAGAGGAACAAACATGCAATTGCTCATTGCTAAACTTGGGGCCAGACTGGAGCTCATGTTTCTATAATAATATATTATACAGCATTATCTTTCTGTGGCCATAGGAAACAGACACTTTGGTTACTTCACTGTTTCTCTTTTTCCTCCTCTCCAAGTCCCTGACACAGTTTTTGGGCTGGTCAGTACTCAACACAGATACATATGATAAGATGAACAAACTGGAGAACCGGAAAGATATCGCCCAGGATATGGTGCTCTACCACGTGAAGTGTGACAAGGATGAAATTCAGGAAATTCTGGTAATGACTTGCAATGTACAGTACTCCTGTTAGCATACTGGTCAGTGCTCAACAGCAGCTGTGTCTGTGGGACAAGGTCTCCCATCCCATATAAAGTCTTCCAGCCATGGAAGCCTTCACACTATAGCAGAACAAGTCTTTATTTTGACTTGAGGCTTTCTGCTCTCTGCCCCAGCATGCTGTACCTAAGCCAGGCCTGGAGGTGGGCTCATGCAGATGCTGCTCAGGGCAGGCTGTAGGGTGTGAAAGAGGAGCTAATTTATATCCTAAAACCATCTTGGTACAAAAGATACGGAGTCGCTAAGCCTGGCTGAGACACAGGGAATTTTCTAGGGGAATTTTTCAAGTGGAGGAAAAACAAGCCAAAATTAAAGCAAGAGGTAATGTTCCTTCAAGGAAGAATATGTTGAAGGATCAGAAGTAAAAGCAGGGTCTGAGAGGAAAATATGATTTATCAGAGCTGCCTCCTGTAGGTTCACCCTAGATTACCCCCAAGCTTTACAGCACACAATCTTGTAAGATATAGTGGTCAGTGTAATGTGTCCATGCTTTTTGCAGCCAACACGAGAAAAGCTGGGGAAGGAGCCAAGCGAGTGTGAGGAAGAGGAGCTGGCAAGTATTCTGGTAAGGGCAGTGTGCAAGTGAACTTGGAAGTGTAGCAAACAACTACTGCCTGGGTGGAGGCAGGGGAGAGTTGCTGGAGTTGGTAGATATCAACGAGGCACATGGTGAAGGGCAAAGGTGAAACACACCTGCCCCTCCTGTGTTCTGTGTGATTACCAAGCAGCAGAGAATGCCTTCCTGTGAAGTGCCTGCTTAGCGCCTCCTTATCACAAGGGGTTCCAAAGTCCAACTGGGAACATGCCATGTGCCTTGAACTATCATACATTTTCTTCACAAGAATGAATGAGGAACTTTAAAACTTTTCCTGAGTCTAAGACCTGACAAGTTTGGATTCTCCAAACTACATCAAATTAAAAAGAAGAGTGCTTAACAAAATGCAAACAATATCTTGTGCCAGAACAAAAAAGTTCTCCCTCCTCCCCCACTAACAGGGCTATTTTAACGGAGGAAGAGGGAAAACATTTTTGCTCATCTGTACTAAATCCTTGAAGGAAAATATTTACTTATGTAAAAAGTTGTTCATCCTTGCGCATATAGGTCCTTTGGAAGTAACGCGATTGCTCCTAACCCTGACCCTAACCCTAACCCTAACCCTAACATAGCCCTGTTAGGGCTGTTTTTGTCACATTCTGAAACAGATGTCTTCCAACAGCATCAGACTGATAACTTCTTATTTAGCAAAACCACTTCCAGGTATTTCTAGAGACAGCATAAATACCATAGCAACAAACCATTTTGCCTTTCACAGAAAGAGCAACTCCCAGGGCCCAGCAAGTTTGAAATCTATGAGTTCAGGTTCTCAGATTTCGACTGCACTGAACTGGAGCTTGTGAAGTGTGGCATTCAGATGTACTATGAGCTTGGCGTGGTGAAGAAGTTCCAGATCCCACAGGAGGTAACTAACCCTAACCCAGGACCCCCACCTCGTTCATGAGTCTGGAGCATGAAGCTGGCCACTTCTGCTCTGTACAGCGGTGGGAAGCTCTGTGGGCTACCAGTATGCATTTGCTACCGGGCCTCTACAGACTGAGACTGCACCGTGCAAAAATCTGCCTACCTTATTATCGAACCTTACTCAACCCCAAAGTCTTCAATTCGCAAATTCAAGGCTTTTTGAAACAGTCCGTGTCAGTCAGATTAGGAAAACGCGTTTTCGTTCCCCGTTCTCTTCGAGGGATGTTTCGGCACATGCTGTGAGTTTTATCCCCATCTAGTGGGACCCGCGGATTGCTGCACAGAGAGCCTCCCGCCGCACGTCCCTTCCGCACGTATCGGAGTGGCCGGCAGAGTGCAGGAGGGAAAGGAAGGGCTCTGCACAAGGGTTACCTCTGTGCTTCTTACCCACAGCATGAGTCAGTTATAAGCATTCAAAATGTCCACTCTGGAACGACGCTCCTGGTGCAGATGTGAAGAACAGCCATTCTCTGCTGCCCCTTTAAGATTTAAAATAATGAATACTCTCTTATTCCCTCTCCAATGGAAAAAAACCTCTGTAGATACAAGGGAAATAAGCAGAACACAGGTGGACAAAAACAGTCGGATATTTAATGCTCTGTATTATAACCACGTAGGGGATAAACATTCCATCTCTACAGACCTACAGAGCCATCTCTCTTGAAGGTCTGACAGGTATCCATTATTTCTATGCATTGTCTTTATTCCAAAAGCAGCAGCAGCCAGCTTCACCCACAAGCCAGCTGACATCAAACACCCTCCTCCCAATTTCAGGTTCTGGTGAGGTTTGTGTACTCTGTCAGTAAAGGCTACCGGAAGATAACGTACCACAACTGGCGCCATGGCTTCAACGTTGCACAGACCATGTTCACACTTCTCATGGTAAGGTAACACCATCCCTACTCATTCTGTGGCACGGCTTTACCCCAAGTAAGGCAGATGTCATGGCTCAGAGACATGCAGGGCTCCCTTCAAACCCTACATAGGATTTGTTTGTCACTTCTAGCACCATATGAGGCCCTAGTTTACATAAACTGCATGCACTGTAGGCACAGACATGTCTGGTATTGAAGAGCCTCCAGCTTAATCCGTCTGCATGGTACGGTGAAGAACTGCAGGACATCCTTTCCTCCAGTAGTTTCTGGCAATGAGTGATACTAGCTCAGATGAAGACAACCACACATTTCCCATTTGTAGGCAGAACAGCCACGTATGTAAGTCCATTGCTAAGTCTGCCTCATCTCCCTGGAGAATTGTGGAAGGATGAGACGTCATGGCCCTAAGTTGAGCCAGAGGAGGTTCAGGTTGGATACCAGAAAAAATTTTTTCTCAGAAAGGGTAGTAATGCATTGGAAGAGGCTGCCCAGGGAGGTGGTGGACTACCATTCCATGAGGTGTTCAAGAACCCTGTGGATGTGGCACTGATGGATGTGGTTGGTGGGCATGGTGGGAGGGAGCTGACAATTAAACTTGGTGATCTTAGTGGTCTTTTACAATCTTGATGACTCTTTGATTGTAGTATGGGTGTAGCAAAGTGCCATTCTCATGGGTGAGAGATGCCCACAAAAGAACAGAGACATCAGAAGTGCTCTAGTCACCATAGGCTTGTGATGGATCAGCCCTACGGCCCAGCACTGAAGGCATGCAGGTAGCTGTCAGGGTGCAAGCGCCCCAGTGGCATAATGCTGCTGTAGCAGCAGGCAACCAACCTTGCAGATGGGCATCAAGCATATACACACAACAGGCGTCTACTTGAGTCTGAAACCTTTTGTTTCCAGTTGCTTCCCCATTTTGATCTAAACATGCTGTATGTAATATCTATCTTTGTTCCAGTTCTCCTGGGCTGTCTCAGTGGGGGTTGTCCAAGTCACAGTCCCATACCTTTTCCTGTAAGACATACTAACCAATGGCATGCACATTTTCACCCTCTAGACAGGCAAACTGAAGCGCTACTACACAGACCTTGAAGCCTTTGCAATGGTAACTGCTGCTCTGTGCCATGATATAGACCACAGAGGAACCAACAACCTCTACCAGATGAAGTAAGTGCTTTCTTGCCACTTCCAACCATTTCCTGCTTCTCTTGTGTGGAGTGGATTCAGGCTGTGATCCCATTAAACTCCGGCCCAGCTCTGTTATATGCAGGGTAACAGTCTTACTTGTCAATTAACTTCTCTTTTCTGCATACTGTAAACTTGGGCTCTGCCTCCAAGCAGGCTGCCCTCAGCTCTTTGGTTAAACCAAAGCTCTACACTGTTGGTACAAGGTAGGTCGGGTGCAATGCAGGCATTTAGTGGTCTGAGCATCACAGGAGAAGCAGGATGCTTCCATGACCATCCTGGACATAGGAAGCATGCTTTCTGCTGGAAAGCACTATGCATAGCACTGACCTTGCTGCCTGCAGAAGCCTATCACCTATCACATATGTGAGGATGTGAGTTCTGCTTCCAGTAGCTGATTGAAAAAAACAGCAAGGTAGTGTCAGATCATAGCTCTTCTGCAATGCTTTTCGGCTGTGCTATCCCACTGCTTTCTGGAGCTTTGAAAAAATGTAAGTGAAGCTGCAAGTTCATCACAAGTGCTTTGAATATGAGATTGTCTTGCACTTTGCCTAGGAAGATGTTCAAGGACCAGTGGTTTTTCAGTTCCTATTAACAGATGCCAAAACGTACTTTTTCAGGAACTTAACAAGAAATTCGTTATGCCCAATAACAGAAGTTCTACCAAGAAAAACAATGTGTGAAATCCACAGGCAGAAGAATACTATATGCAGTGTACAAATAACTATAAGCAGAGTCACCTGTTGACAATATTACTCCTAAGCTTTTGCTAGATAAATTGAATGTTCATGACAAATATCAGATAGGATGCTTTTTTTTTAAGTGCTATACTAACATTTTATTTTTCCCTTATGCTACCAGATCTCAAAATCCTTTAGCTAAACTTCATGGATCTTCAATTTTAGAGAGACATCACCTGGATTTTGGAAAGTTTTTGCTCTCTGAAGAGGTTTGTTATTAACTGTAATATAAAAGCCTGAATAATTTAACTGCAGTGACTTTTTTTTTAATCAGTAAACACCAGGCTGTCAAATTCTGTGACCCACAGCCCACAGTTTGAGCACAGGGTATATCTCTGGTTTGGGTTTCTGAGGTTCTACAGCCAGCTCATACTCTTCCACTCTCAAGTGTTTTCTTCTCACTAGTGACCAGAACATTTACATGACCCGGATTCTTCAGAAGCCATATCATTAGCCCCCTTAGGAACACATGAAACACAAGATTGTTTCCTGTAGTCCCAAGGAACCAAGGCCAATACGCCCCCCCAGCTAACTTTCCATTTCAGGCAAATTGGCAAATTCAAGGTGTATCAAGGTGCAGACACTGACCCTGCTTGTGAGTACAGAGGGAGACCAGGCACCAGCAGATCTTAGGGAAGCAAGTTGCAGCTCTAGAAAAAAAAAGCAATTTTGAGAAAGCAAGATTCCCAGTAGCTCACAGCAGCACAGGACTTGCATTTTGCAGCTTCCTTTTCTTTTTCAGTCACTGAATATATGCCAGAACCTCAACCGGAGACAGCACGAGCACATGATTCATCTGATGGATATTGCCATTATAGCAACAGATCTGGCACTCTACTTCAAGTAAGTTGGTCACGTACACTGTGGGTGAAGAGCTGCATGCAGCTGGAGCTGTACAAAGACAAAATGTGATGTTTTGCTCTGAGAGCCCCTCTGGTAGCAAACATTGCCTATGGAGGACTGTTTTTAATGTCAGTACTAGAGCTTCCAGGAAGAATTCAAATTGTTCAAAAGAATTTTGAATTTGATTAATTATTTCATGTATTGACTTTCAGCCTCCTGTCTACAACAAGGCCCCATATGATCCCCTAACCAAAATAAAGAGATGATTTTTTTTATAACATTTCAGCACTAAAAATACTTACTAATGGTCAATGGTTTGGCCAGCATTCCATTAAGTTCTCTGGGAGAGCAACAACACAACTCAAATAGTAAGTGGTTCATTATAGGTGAATACTTGGTTCATAGTCTATTTCACTCACCAAAGCCAAAAACTTAGGACCATGTTATCATATCCACTAATTTCCTGGGGCATAAGCTGGAAGTCTATGATTTTTGACATCTTAAGTAGCAAAGAACTTTCAAAATGTGCTTTGAAGTACAGGGCCAGAAATTACTTCTGTGTTTTACACTGAAGGATGGTTACACACAATATAAATAGTAAAAAAAGAAAAAGAAAAAAGAAAAAATTACGAAGAAGGAACCCTAACCCCAACCCTAATCCAGTTCACTTACTTTGGAGGTTTGGTGATTGTATGGGAACAGATATCTGCACTTCCCTTCCATACCAGGTAGGAACTAGCTGGTCTTTGTCATCTGTATGTGAAGAATTAATTTAGATCAGATTCCAGGTGAAAAAATGTGGACAGAGCACATAGTCAAGCTTCATTGTGTATATGGCCTAAAGGTCCTTCTTTGTCACTAGCATTGAACCAGCAGATTTTTCAAGATTTCATGCCACTCAAAATGTGGGCGTGTGGTATATAAGTCCCTCCCTGGAATTTGCTTCCCATATTTAGGTTTATAACTAATATTAACAAGATCAGACTGAGCAACAGGCAGTCTTACAGGTGCTTTAACACCTAAGCTAGCTCTAAGTTTCTGCTGTTTGCTCAGCATTCAGGCAAAAAGCCTTCTTGTGTTGTCAGGAAAGCCAGAAGCCCTTTTCATTATGCATTACTTGAAGTAGCACATGCTTTCAAGCTTCCTGCTCCAGTCTCACTACTCTGCTTATTATTCCTTTAAGCCATTTACAATAGTTCCCTCTACTTAAAAGAAACAAGTGAAGATGCCTGGTTTTGCTGGGGGCTTCCCTAAAGACATAACTGCCAGGAAAATGTCTACTGGGAGCACAGACCTCTATTTTTAACACACCTACTTCATTCTTTTGGAACTTATTTTTTTTTCTTTTTCTCAAAGAAAAAGAACAATGTTTCAGAAGATTGTTGATGAGTCTAAGACATATGACAGTACAACTGCCTGGACTGACTACCTGTCTCTGGAGACGACAAAGAAAGAAGTTGTCATGTGAGTAGATCATCTCTTTGAGGGTTGGAGATGTGGTAGTGTCCCTCTTCTGGGGCTGGGTGGTGGGAGCTACAAAGCATGCACACACCCATAATAGGTCTGGTTTTAAGAAACATTGTTCTGCTTCAGCAGCAATAGTCCCTAGCTGATACAGTCCTTTGTTTTTGATTTCTAATGTAAATTGAGTGAGGAAAAAAAGACCACACTGGTGTTGTATGCAGTCAGTACATCCTTGCATTGCCCTTAGGAGGAGGCCAGCATGTGGTAGTGTCCACTCAAATTGGATCTTCTGGAGAAGCAAGGCAAAACCACAGGGTAAAAATGTATTGCTCTGCAAAGGCAGAGCAAAGGGAACCTCATGAATGAGTTGTTCTTCCTAACGAAAATCCATCTGAGTTGCACAATGCTGTTGCAGCCAGCAGAGGCTCTGCAGAACACTCTGTGCTTGTGATGAGTTGTACCTACAACCTTGCTGCAGTTTTCACTGTTAAACATCTGCAAGGAACTCAGATGAGTTAGCCTACAGGCACAAGGTTCAGCCTAGTAATGACTGAAGTGATGAACTTCCTAGTGTCAGAAGAGAGCAGTTTCCTAGCATCCCATTTGATCCATGAAGCAGTTCTCGATCCATGTCCCAGTTAGACCGAGGGCTACAGCAGCCTGCCTTTCTTTATCCACCGCTTCAGCACTGAACTGAGACATTTGGTAGGACGTGCACATCCTGAGCCTCAGGGCTGCAGAGAAGAAACTAATTTATTTTCTGTTTTTAGGGCCATGATGATGACTGCCTGTGATTTGTCAGCAATCACTAAGCCTTGGGAAGTCCAGAGTAAGGTCAGGTGCTTGACATACTGCCAGATTTCTCTAGCTTGTACTTGAAAGCATTGTATGTTTCTAAGCTACTCAGTAACTGTGTTGAAGTTTCCTACTAAAACTACTGAAAATACTTCATAATAATAATATTCTTGATGGATAAATCAATCTTTGAAATTATAGTTTTGGAATCTACAGAGCATTTACATTCACCAAATGGAGCAAAGAAAAAAAGAAGGAAATTGTTCAGGTAGTTGTTGTTGTTTTAGTGCAATACCTCCTGCTTCGTTAGTTGTTTGTTTTTCTGGTAGGAGTTCCTTCCTGAACTGAAGTTAATCAATTACTAGGTAAGAAACACTAAAATTTAAAGGAGGATAAAAATAAATAAAATCCATCTTCCCGTTCAGTATGGAAAAAAGGACAGCTGAAAAAGTCTTAATAGAAAACCATAAAACTGTGATCACAAGCCAAATCCTTGCAGGACACATTAGAAACATTTCTTAATAGATGAGCAGTGAGCTGACAAGTCCAAGTGCAAAAACGATATCTGGGCCATCACTACTCAGGTGCAATCCCATGGCTACTGTCTGCCCTTCCCAGCAGAAAGGCAGGGGCTGGATGTGGGTATGGAGCAACCCAGGGCTTAGAAGTGACATTTGCTTCAGAGTCAGCCTGTCCTAAAGTCCATCTGGAAATCAAAATCAGTGCTAATTTTGCTTTTTCTCTCCTTGGCAATGTAGGTAGCTCTCCTGGTAGCAGCAGAATTCTGGGAGCAAGGGGACTTAGAAATAAGCGTCCTTCAGCAGCAGCCCATTGTAAGTATCCTGTGAGAGCTAGAGGGCGCAGTTCAGACAGTAAATAGAGATTCACTGCAAGCAGGGATGCTCTCAGAGAGATGTGTTTTTCCGTGGCTCCCAGGCTTGACAAGTGGGCATTCAAATAGGGAAAATATTTAAATTTGGCGTTGAAAGAACCAAGAATTATTCCTTGAGATTGTCTCCACCCATCTCAGCTTGGTTTTTGTTTTTTTTTTTTTAAATCATGGAATATCCCAAGCCGTGACAGACCCAGTAGACTTAAAAAAATCACTAAGCAGACTTTCATAGTATATCTCCACAGATGCAACATAAATAATACAGTAATGATTCAGTAACCAAAATGACCATATTAAAATATAATTCCATGTTCAGAAATGTTTTGTAGAATTGAAATTTGATTGAGAGAGGGAAAGGAAAAATTCTGTCCCTGATCTCATAATAGACAAAGAAAGAGCTGTCTACAATTTCCACAGAAACAGCATAGGAAATAAACCCATTCCAGTTCTCTTCAGAGGAGGATGAGAAAGGTGATGGACAGCACAGCAGAACAGCCCAGCTTACACAACAGGGCAGAGTAGAAAAAAGAGTAGTGTTTTCCAGTGCAGTGTTCTTATATATCATGCTGTGATTGTGTCCTACCACAGCCCATGATGGACAGGAGGAAAGCTGCTGAACTCCCAAAGCTTCAAGTGGGTTTCATCGACTTTGTGTGCACATTTGTCTATAAGGTAAGCACACCATTCTATATTCTATTAGGTGTGCACACCATTCTCTTAACACAAAATGCAGGTCCTAGTGTCTAGAGTCATGGTGCAGCAACAGAACGCAGGAGCACAAGGGCAGGCAGAGGAGATAACAAGGGGATTCCTATCTCTCAATGAATCTGTTCTGCTACCTCTTGAAGAAAAAACATTTGGAGACTTCAAAGAGATCCAAGTCCAAGAAAAGCATGGAATCATCTGTATACCAGATGAGACCAGGAGCAGCAGACAGAACTCACTGTCCTCCTCCTGGCACAGGGAAAGAGGGAGGGAAGGAGAGAAGGAGACACATCCTTCCCCTGCTCAGGAGGGATGAACTTCCTCCTCTCACCAGCTGCACTCTCTAGGATGCTGCAGGGCCCCTCTCCATGCTGTCTGTGCCCTCCTTGTGTAGCCAGCCCAGCAGGAAAGGATCAGGGCCAGTCCTGGGTGCAAAGGATGGGTGGCAAGTCAGTACCTCCACATTGCATGGCATTGATGGCTGTATTTTGGTCAGGAATTTTCACGTTTCCATGAGGAAATTCAGCCTATGCTTGATGGGCTGCTGAACAACAGGAACGAGTGGAAGACCCGTGCTGATGAGTATGATGCAAAGATGAAAGCTCTGGAGGAAGAGAAGAAAAAGGAGGAAGAGAAAATGGCTGCGCAGAAAGGTCAGAACCAATACTGATCACTTACTCAGTATGCTCTGAGACCTGCAGCAAGACTTGTAGCCCCAACAATGTCAGATGCCAAGAATAGTTTCCTCAGCCTTGCTCCACTAGCAAAGTTTAAAATAGGACTCTAAAATACATTTTTGTCTTCAAGGCCTAGCACCATGATAGGCTGTCAGAAAGGCATCGGAAGCATAGGGGGCTACTTGTGCCTTACAAATGGGCTACATGCAGCACAAGCTCCCATGAAGCTGGGATCAGCAAGAAGTTCTGTGCACTGTCTGTAGTCCCTTGAGAAGTGCAGGGACACATCCCTTTGTACAGGCTTGGCTGATGTGCTATCTCACAGCTTGTGAAGCAGGAGGATTTGAAAACAGCTAACACATTCCTGGGGTAGTAGTTCATCCCATTTCTAGCCCAAATTAGCACCTTGCCAATTTATTTGGGTTGAATCGATTTGCCATTTTCTGTGGGCTAATCTGGATAGCACTGAATCAGTCCATCAGCTGCAGTGAACACTGGATGAAAGCTCATATTAACACGTACTTCATATCTTGAGGGTTTGTTTGGCTCTGAGAAAGGTGGAAGTGGAAGGCTCCTGGCTGCCTTTCCAGGTGCCTGAAAACCACCCTGTCAGAACTTGCTGCCTCTGTTCTGAAGGCTGCACTGAAGCATCTTCTTGTTGCACTACAGTCCACTGCTACTCCCTGAATAGCTCCTTAGTTTAGACATTATTCAAATAACAGAGTTTACAGGTCTTATCTCATTTCTATTCTTAAAGTACTGAAAATAAATACTCTGGATATGACCTCTGGGGAGTTATTTCGTGACTGAGTAATCAGTATTTAAGTGAAGAACATTTCTGCTAACTCTAAAACAATTCCAAAGTAACTGCATTTACAGTTACTTTGCATAGCAGATATCTCTAGATGAAGGTACTGCAGGTATTTCACTGACCGTTCAATATCTTACAAGTCCAAAAACTCTGCTGTGGTGAATAAGAAGAGATTCTAGTGCACTTACACTGTACTTCTAATTCTTTTTTTCTTTTTGTATGGCAGATGGAATAACCTGCAACGGAGGAACAGCTCCAAGTTCAAAAACCTGTAGTATACTTTAGATCTATTTCCAAGGCAATTCATCCACCCAAAATGAGAATGCCCATGTTTAGAAACAAACAACAACAACAAAAAGTCCTGGCTTAAAATATATATTCCTGCTTGGACAATTTTAATTAGGCTTATGACCAACCAAGGAAGGGCTAGATCTCGTTTGCCTTAATTGCATCTCTTCTTGATGCTAAGGGACCCATCCTGTCCTGACTCTCACTGCATTTAACATACCTGATGGTGTCAGATGGCACATGGCAAGTCAGAGCAATGTTTGGCCCAATATATCAGGTTGCGTGGCCACAGAAGAAACACTGCTCCAGCACTGAAATACTGCAGACCCCAAAGCTAACAAAGCCAGTGAATCTCCCAGATTGTCCATGTGTGCAAGGAATAGCCTGCAGAGTAGAAAAAGTGAAGAACAGCTAAATTTATAATATCTAAATCTCTGTCTTTGAGGATATCAGAAAGAAATCTGTAGGTGGGGATGAAGCATGAGAACTTTTGAGCTGTTCTAGAAGGCTACATTTCTCTGTAAGTCCAAGGAATGCACATAGTAGTAATTCTGCATTCACTTTGGGAATTTGGGTTGGCTGCTGCTGTACGCATGATCCCTCAGCTGCAAGACCCAGTAGATGCTGGCTTCACAAACAGGACCCACGTTGTGCACGATCGCAGGCTCTGTGCTGTGACATGTGGCTGTGAGAAGGCAGTGTCATCACTACCCACTGCAGCGCCTCATACAGTTACCCACACAACCTGAACTGTGGCATCTGACTTTGTTCTGTTTTACCTTGTGATGCCAGTGCTATCTAACACATCCTCCTTCGATTGGTATCAGCCCTCCTCCTTTTCTCCTCCTGTTCGAGATGTCTGATTTTCTCAGTCCACTTCAAACTTCAAAAGAGTGATGAATTCTACTCCTTTATTTAAGTTAATTAGTTTTCCTGTTTATTAATGTAACCATGTTAGAATACTCTTATCGTAAAGACCCTTCTCTACTCCCCTGCCCTCTCTCTCTCTCTCTCTCTCTTTTACTCAGAGCATGGCGGGCACGTCAGCCATGTAATGAGAGTTCTGATTTGTGGGGATCTTCTTCTATTACTCCTGCTACCTTCAGTATTTTTATCCCTCAGTAACTTATTTTGCATTACAGAAGTACTGTAAGTAGAAGGAAATTATAGCCATAGCAGTATCTGGTGACTGTTTGTCCAGATCCCAGTGCACTAAGAAGTAATCTTCTGTCGCTATGCAGCTATTGTGTGAGCAGCAAGTTGTCCTTCAAGAGAACACAAAAACCTCTCCACTTGCTCAAAAGCTAAATATGCAGCTAGTAGTTGGTTCGTGTTGTATATCTCAGCTTCATCTGCAACCACGTAGGAGGCTTGCATCACATGGCAGCACTTCCAGGACACCAAGCCAAACAAGTTGTTTCCAGTGGGCAATATGCCGTGAGATGATCTTATTGTGGTGTGCTAAGAAGTGGGTTCTTAAGATCACTTCAAGTCATTGTAAGCTAAATGCCTGCCGCTGAGAAAAGCTCTCCTTGACTTCAGATGTTTTCCTGGAAATAAAGCCAATAATTAATTCCTTGTCCCGTGTGCTGGATGCTGAAATTGCTGTGGGCGGCACTGTGTGAGTTCAGAGATGCAGGGCTGGCCTGTACAGTATCCGGGCTGCGGCACCCGTGCCCACCCACCTGCATGAGTGCATTTTGGAGACAGAGGGCTGCTCCCCACTTGCCACTCCCATTTCCACTGATGGCAGAGGTGCCCCATGCAGAGCACATGCAGCTCTACCGTGCAAAACCACCTCGTCAGACTGCTTCTGGACATCAGCACTGGTTCCTCAGGCTGCCTGCCTCCTGAGCACTGTAGCCTTGCCCTCTCAAACACCATTCACTATCTCCCGTTGTGCTCCATGCAGTTTTCTTGCCAACAGAAATGCAATCAAACTGGCTTCGTCCGACTTGTTCCTCAGCTGCCTGCAGCTGACTGCCCCTCATCTTCCTGTGGGAAGCCATGAGCAGAGGCTTTTCTGTTCATTGAATTTCTTTGCAAACTGTTGGTACATAGCATTACTACTATTGTAGTAATGTAGTAATACTATTACTGGCAAAGCAAGTATATATGACAAATAATTACATATCACTACAAGTAAAAAGAGTATATAATTACGATCAATTACTTAGATGTGTGCCTATATACATTTCTATACTATCTCAAAGCGCTCACCAAATTACTGCTACAATTGGTGCTTATCAATGATGGACAAAGTTGTGCTGAGATGATGATTCATACCACAGTCTGGAGCCAGCCAGGCACCCCTAGTGTGGCTCCTACCCATTCCAGCTCATGCAGGTCTGACACAGAGAGGTTTACAGAGGGGGGTCTCAGAAAGATGCTACATTTTGAGTAGAAAGTGAGACATTTTTATGTCATTGCAGACATAAGTGAGTGTAGGACACCACCATCACCTGAGCAGCCAATAGATGTTGCTGACTTCCATGATTCAACTGCAATAGCCCATAGACAATGCAGTTGTCTATTTTCCCAGAATAGTTTTGACTTTTTCAGACTGCTTTTTCTATATTTCCAGCTTCAGCAGTCTATAGCTGATGCCAATTTCCACATATTCAGACTGAGTTCCACAATTCTAGACAGTAAGTTTGTCACTGCACTTCTGTGGTTTTGCACTTAGCAAGGCTATCTCAGCCATGCCAAGTTCACAGGAGCGCAGCTGCACTTCGAGGTCCCAGCTGTGCCTCTTACAGATGCTCCTTGCCCTCAAGCCAGCAGATATCTGGTGTTTTTGTGTTCCCCATCACACTATCACACTCAGCTTAATTTATGGATGCTCCCATTAGCTATAATGGCCCGGAGTGGATCAACTGAAGGGAAGAAACCCTTCCATTATGGACGGAGGTTCTCCCTGCCTGTCCCTACGTCTCTCACTCCCAGTGTCCAGTATTTGCTAAGTGTTTGAGAGGAACACTGACTTTCTTGCATCACAGACAGGGTCATGCAATCCTTTTTTTTTTTTTTTTTTTCCAAAATGGTTATATTTAACTGCATCATCTTTTTGCCAGCACTGAAACAGCTGTTCTTTCTGATCAGCAAGCAAATGTCTCTACATCTTGTTGCACTGTCAAGAACTACACGTATACTTTGCTTCCCACTTAAGATGCTGGCCAGTTAGACAAGACTGAAACCTGGCATGGTTCCCCCTCAGCAGCCCAGGAGAGGTTTTCAACTTTTGAATCAGCTCTCAGCACCAGTGGGAGACAAGGAAAGGAGTCTTGTTTATAGATCTCACGGCAGGAGCTAATGTGGACAGGTCATAGTTGCTTTTAAAGCAGAGGCTGGAAATTAATACCCCTGTGAGACTGGAATTAGGGCATGTGTGGGGGTGTTTCTTGGATAGGAGCTGAAGGACAGAGATAGAAAGCTCCTAGGAAAGCAGGGAGTACAGCTCTGTTTTCAGCCATTTCACATGGATCTGGAAAATGTGCTCATTGTTCTTCCCCAAGCTGGCAAGGTTCTGACTCCATCTAAAGCTGAGAAACACTGTTCTCCTTTCATTAAGGCTGGAGAGGAACAGTTCCACCTCTACTCAGCTTTCCAAAGGAAGAAATGCTACTAAATTAGTGCTTAAAGGCTAATAGCATTTAAACTTCAGTCACATAAGTATAGCCAGCCCTGTTTTACAGATAAAACTACAATCAGATGGCAATTTTTCTTAGTTTCAGGGAGCACTTGACCATTTGTGAAATTGTGAAAGACAACTGTTAAAAACAAGCTATTAAGTCAATACTAATTCCTCATGTTACAGAACAGCTTGACAAATCAAAGTCAAATTTGTCTGTAACTCTCAAAAGCAAAAGCAGTACCATTTTCCACTGTGGTTAAAAAGGCTGAAAAAATATCATAGCAATACTCTACTTAAGCTAGTTAAAACAAAGGTACAGGCAACCAGTGCAATGCTAGCCTTCTCCATGGACTCCTGTGTGTTTTAAAATCTATGAATTTCCTGATCACAACATTCCCTGAGCGTAACTAGTGTGGAGACTATCTCTGTTAATAGAGGAATACACAAATTGTTTCATCAGCAGCTGTGATGGTCAGCTTCTGACCAGTGCAATCTTTGACGCTGTGTAAATACTTCTGTTGTTGCTCTGTGCAATTTAGTCAAAAATACCAACTGAAGCATGGTTAAGTACTTTATTGGTAGAGTAACATGCAGAGACCATCAACCACTACACCATTCAGAGCCTAGCCATGTATCTAAAATTAAGATCCAATCCTTTATTTCAAAATGGAATCTTCAGATGCTAGAAGGGAAGAAAAACAAACATAGTTAAGATTACTCGTAACTTCCATTACTACTAAACTACTAAAACATGCAGAACACTCGTGGGATCAAAGATTAGCTTTAAATATGCCATTTCTTTCTAGCTGGTTTTTGTAATTTCTGCTTCTGCTAACTCAACTGAAGTGTATTTCATTGCTGTAGGGTAAAAGCAAGTTCTTTTGCCTTGCTCACTGGTTAAGTAACAACCTTCTGAAATGACAATTCAGATAAGCCCTGAAAGTCATCAGCACAGATGCTTCCATTTATCCATCTTGGAAGAACAATCTTCAACTGCTGCACTGCACTGATTCAAGTTCTAAGAACTGCTTTTCTTACCGAGAACTGTATCATGCCACTGCTGGGAAAGCTAACAGCCAGCCTATGTAATATTTAAATAAACATCCTAAAGAAATAATCACAGAACTCCACTTCTAAATGAACTACCAGTCCTACAGGACAGCTTCTGTCCCCAAAAATGCAAAATTATTCAGCTAAATAAAGAAATACTCCAAAGATTTATGTACAAAGTTCAATGAAAGCTACACATTCAAGATGCTAAATAGCTTTATCTAAGAAAACCATTCAACAGCTTGAATATTTGATTGTATGTATGCGTAGTTCACTCAAGTTTGTTTTTTCACAGGGTTTTGTTCAACATTAATCTTTTTTCAAGACAACACAAATGTCAGTGCTGTTCAAGTTTTTCCTTTCTGTAAGTCCATTTAACTCACAGCTATTCTGTACATATTAGAAAGGCATGGAGGATTAAAGAAATAATCCTAAGGAAAAAAGAAAGCATGCCGCTGCAGTAATGCTGTACGGTGGGAATGAGAAAAGCAGCAGTCCTGATGCGAAGGACACCAGAAGTGAAGTCAACCTCTACACCTACGCTAGTGATGGCACAGCCAAGTGAGCTGCAGACAGAAGCAGTGGCCCAGGACCTCCGGCTTTGGTCACCAGCCGCCTCAGGGTGAACTGTACCCTAATGAGGGCAAACAATCCCACCCAAGAGCCCACCTTCTGCCAGTTCCTTTGCGATCCGTTCGAGCTCCTCGCGCTTCTTCTTCTCCTCCGCCTCTATCCTTCTCTCCTCCTCAGCAATAGGCTTTAGGTAGTCTGCCGTTAACACACACGGTTAAACACACCGCTGCTGAGGCTCGGGCCAGCAGTGAGGCTCAAGCTCGCTCGGAAAGAAAACCCAAGCCAAGAGGGAAGGGGCGGCAGAGCCGCACGCGGGACGCCTTCCCCCGGGGCGGGAGGGAAATGGCGGCCGCCTCAAGGTGCCCTTGGGGAGGGAGGGGAGGAGTGGGCCGCGGAGCCAAGGGCCGCCGCACTCACCGTATCGCTTCTTGCCGTAGATCATCCCCACGAGCAGCGCCGAGTACCGGGTGAACTGCGGGGAGCAAGAGACAAGGGCGAACCCCGCGCTCAGCCGCCGCCGCCGCCACCATGCCCGGCCCGGCCCGCAGAACTGCGGAGCGGAGCGGGATGGCGGCAGGGGCTGCCGCGGCCTCACCTTGATGAGGGGCGAGACCTGCACCGGTGGAATCATCCTGGCGGCGGAACTGGCAGCAGAAAGCGGGGCTGCGGCGGAAGGGAGCGGAAGGAAAGCCGGTCCTGCGCGCCGCTTTGCCCGCCTTCCTGCCCGTCCCTACTATGTGACGCAGTAAATAAAGCGTGCCTGCTCGCCAGCGCCGCGTTGAACTTAATGAATCTGTCCCCGAATTTTGGATGTCAGCTTTTCAGAAACGAATAACTACAAGAACGCACAGATGATATAATAGAAGGGGCAAAGCGTCCTCCAGTTGTATGGATTACAAGATTGTACCCCTTCTGCACTTCCCTGCATCTACAGCACTGTGTCCGGAGCCGGAGCCCTCAGCACAAGGATATGGAGCTGCTGGAACGGGTCCAGAGGAGGCCCCGAAGATGCTCAGAGGGCTGGAGCATCGCTCCTCTGAAGAAAAGATGAGGGAGCCAGCCTTGCTCAGCCTGGAGAAGAGAAGGCTCCGGGGAGACCTCACTCTGACCTTCCAGTACTTGTCAGAAACTTAAGGAGGGAAACTGGCATTCTGCATAGCCCGACAGTTATATGATAAGGAGGAATGGTTTTGAACTAAAAGAGAGGAGACTTAGGTTGGACTCAGGCAGAAAATAGATTTGATTCAAATGTCATCTGAGCAGAGCAGAAATAAAGGGGTGGAAGTTTTGCTATTTTCTTCAACGATTGAAATTTATTACCGGTACAGATATTCACTGCCTATGTGCCAACTGAACCATAGAAACAAAACTGTATAGAACCAAAGTGCTTTTATTAATTATAAGAAAAAAAAAAAACAGCAATACATTACACAATACAGAATCCTACTGCAAGTCGTTTAGCCTCAACCAGGTATAAAACTCTTGCGTATCTGAAGGTTTATCTTACAGTAAGCATACAATACACTAAGATTCTTCAAACCAAAAGCAAAAAATGCTTTTAGAGTAATGTCAACTGAAAGTAGGTATTTAAATTTGTTTTCACTAATAATTATTCCAAGCATTATTTACTGCAGGACTGTGTTGCTTTTTTTCTATTGTTTTTGTTATTCCTTTTTAAGAGGAACACCAAAATCCCCCAACTGCTTTTAAACATGGCATTAAGGTTATCAGGCACTAAGTTCGAAGTACTAACTAATGCCTCTACCAAAAAGAAATGTAAAGCCTTCCAGAGGATAGCCAGAGCCTGGATAAATTTACCTGCTCCTTCTTAAACAGCTATCCACAGGAAAAAGTTTGAGCATCAGTACATAAACTTTAAAAATACCAATGTCCAGTAGACTAGAACTTCTACCAGTTAGTTCCTTAGGAGTTTCACTATTGCTTATCTAGCCTCTTGTGAAAGACCAACTCAATTCTCTTTTCCACTGGAGAATTGTTACACGTGTCAAGAAAGTCACATTCTATCAGAATATAGCATCATGCTTTCACATGAACAAAAAGAGGTTCCTTTTATGGCATGAGAGCAGATGCTGAAAGCCTGAGAAATCCAAACCTTTCATTTCAGATGTAGAGTTGCTTGAGAACTGAAGGCAAATTTACTTAGTCTCATAGCTCTTCAAATTTCTTCCCTAGGAGACATCAAAGCTAGTCCAAACCCTGCATGTGCAGCCACGAATCCTCATATTTTAAATACATCATTTTTAAAAAGAATGTAACTGAATTTTTGTTTAGGTAGCCTGGGGGCCTGCATACACAATTCAATTCTCAACTCTCAAGAGAAGTTCAAAACTGTTCAAAAGGAGCTTTTCAAAATGATCACTGGCTATTGAGAAGCGATGCCGTTGACTTAGAATAAAGGGGTGAGAGCAGAGACCAGCAATCTGTATACACAAATGTCCTGTTATAATACACTATCCAGAAAACCAGAAGTGTCCATCACATCTGCCAAGCCTTTCTTCCTATTTTATAGCAGCATAATCAGCTTCTATACCTGTGTTTTGTTTCCATACTGACTACTGCACATCAGAGAAAGGCATTTCACTGGGTATCTGTGTACACCATCACTATCACTGCAGTTACACTTCAAGCAGCATTTTTTTCCCAAAAGGTAATTTTCAAGATAGGGGAACATGCTTTCTGTTTTCCCCACTTACTCTTTCCTCACTCGCCCCCTTATTACTGGTTTTACAGACAGGCTTTTAGGCATGACCAGCTAAAATTAAAATACACTCCAGTTATGGTCAACACAAGCTTTAATTTAGATCTATATACAGATCACACATCAAGACAACATGAGTTAGAAGAACTGAAATTAATGATTTAACTTCACATGCACTGCATGGACATTTACGAGTGTGTTTCAGTAGGAGACAAACATGCCTCCTCTTCTTCTAACAATACAACCTTCCGTCTGGAAAGAGACATCACAGACTTTATGACAGTTAAAGAAATCCTGACAAAAATGCGCAAGGCAAGAAAAGCAAATGGGATTACAATCTGCATAAGATGGAAAATTTCTGTGCTAAATTCACTTAACAAGCATGTTAGAAAGAAGGCCCCAAGGCTCACACAAGGGTAGAGAGCCAGCTTGGCAAACATGAAGGCATGCTCCTTGCCACCATATCTAGCAAAGGGATGCAATGTTTCCCTTTCATGGAGGAGGGCTGTAGTCCATATTGCAAACTGAAATATGCTGGCAAAGAAAGTAATTACACAGCTGACCTGAATAGCTTCTATCTCATTGTGTGACTTCTCTGCAAATTCACTGGTCAGCTGGTAAGCCAGCGGAAGACCACCAATGAAAGCCAACGAAAGTATATTAAGCAGTCCCATTAATCGTGTAGCTTTTGTTACGTACAGGAAAAGCGAGTGATGGACAAACCACAAGAGACCAATTGTCACAAAAGAACCAAAGTAGGCAAGATAGTTTGGTCCATATTCACTTAAAGCTTCAAGAAGGCTTCCATGAAACTTCTCCCCAACTTCTCTTGGATCAGGAACGTTGTCTTCACTATGGAAAGAAAACTTAGTTTACTTTCATGCACATTTCATAAAACACACCTGGACCAAAAATGTTCTATGTTGTTTTACTCTGAGAAGGCAGAGAAGAATACATATCCGTCTGTAGTTCTCCAATTTTTAACTCAGCATGGGCATTTCAAATAAAAGTTCTGCAAATAAATTAGATCTGAAAGGAAATTTGAAAAGTAAGCTGGCATTCCTTCAGATTAATTTAATAAAGTTGCCACAGGAACACAGCTTTTCCTGGAAAAAGTCTTTTTATCTGAAAACACAATGTAATATAAAGGAAGCTTTGTTCTTCAAGAGTCCCCAACATACATTACATAGACTGATGATCATTAGTGCTGACATGTAAGAGGTGCTCTTTCTGGAAAATTACACTTACGGTCACTACTGCAGATTTTAAAAGTGAGTGTCAATATTTAGCCGGCTTTATTTCTTCAAACATTACATGCATATACAAATTGATATTACAGTTCACAATACAGGTTGTGAGAGTCAGCACAAAGCCTTACCAGATATCCAAAATGAGCAAGGTTGCTACAATAGCATAGACTCCATCACTGAATGCTTCTACCCGTTCCTTACTCAGAGGCTCACTGAGGTAAAAACTAAAGGTTTCTAAGCTATAGCTTGCCTCCTCTTCATCTCTGGGACCTGGAAAAAACGTCTGGGTGTTTTTATACTAAAGACAGACAAAAATCAGAAGTTACAAAATGAGATAGTTAAAGGAAAAAATACATATATATGAATCAACATAAGAACAACAAAGCTGCCATGATTTCCCCACCTACTGTCTTTCACCACACCTGACAAAATCTTTATATAGAAAGAAGGGTGCTGCTCACCCACCCAAGTCAGTTGTTCCACTTTTTTTCATAGAACCATATTTTTCCTGCAGTTGTGAATCTCCCTGAACAGGACAAGTGCTTCGGAACAGAAAAGTCAATTTTTCCTCTGAAGGAGAAAAAGTCAAAAAGCCCTATTCAGATGCTGTGCTATATACCCCAGAATAACCTAACAGCAGTAGGTTCTCAAAGACATTGTGGATGATCTTGGAAGCTTTTTCCAATCCTGGTGATTCCAGAATCTCAGATGTGCTGTTGGATGCCAGAGAACATGGGACCATAGAGTACTGCTGAAAAGAAAGTCATGCAGGCACAGAGCTGTATTTTTCTGTCCTCACACTCTCCTTTAAGGAAAGAAAAGGGATAGACAGCCTGCAGTCATCACTCTGTTTTTGTGTGTGTATAACATTCAGGACAAACCAAGAGAGGTTTCACTTTCAGAAATGATGCTGTAACATATATGCTATACAAATCCAGTAGGAAACATAAGGTAAGCAGGCAGCTGAGGAGAAAATGGAAACACAGCTAAATAAAATTCCCACGTCCCCCAAATCATTATATTCCAAGACTGAGATTGGAAGTATTGAAATTACATCATTCCATGCTGTTTGGATAACAATTTGACAACCTAGTAACTGAACATTTGAATACACTCCCTGTAAATACTCACCTACAATCTTGGTTTTACACCATGTTATGAATCGACTGAGATGTGGAAAAACGATTACGAGCCCAAGAAGTAGGTAAGACTATAGAAAAGAAAATGAAGAGAATTTAAATTTAATAATCAAAACATAAATTTCTCCCCAAATTTAATATGAAACCATTATTCACAATCCTTAGTTATAATCTCATGGAGAAAAAGAAAATTGTGATTTTATGGTGTGAAAATAACTCATCTGATATCAACATGCACATCTTGAATACTACCACTTTTTGATAGCAAATTTAATAAAATCAGCAAACCAAGCTAAAACAGGAAGTTAGAGAACTACCACATGTTCCTAGTGATACCTGTCATTTGTCACTTAAATTGCAATACCACATTTCCCAATTAAATCTCTTAAATCTCTGGCAAAAGTGTTCTGATAACCATGTAATAATAAGGTCAGGGAATCTCTACTGCTTTGCAAGTAGAAAAAATAATAAAACCAAGCCTGCAATTGCTTTCTTTTTGTCAAATCACTTTATATTTCCAGCAGGCTGCTCAGAAAGCTGCACTGAAAAAAGGGTGGTGGTGACAGAGAAGTGTAAGGGTTTCTTAAGTTAGGAAACAGAAACAGCTGTGAGAGACACTCCCAAGGGCAG